TTTCTCCTTCGTATTTCCTTCGAGGGTCTCCCTTCACACGACAAATAGGCAAATATTTTTACGCCAATACAATTGCAATATTATTATCTACGATGAAATGTAATTTCAGACCGAGGAAACGAAGGAAGCTGTCGCAAGAAAGGAACTGACGCTAGGCACCGATTCCGCGGTTGTCGAGCTAACTGGTACCAGTATGATGAGAGTCACGTACGATCCAAGGCTGATGACTTTGATCAGAGAGGCAAGGGCACTTTCCAGCCAAGGTGTCGAGCTTCCTCGCGAGGTGAGGGAGCTGGTCGAAAGGGCAGGATCTTTGGCCGGACGTGCCAGGGCCCTCCAACAAGTCGCCACCTTTCATAACACGATTGGCGATCGTATGGTACCGTCTCAAAGACCATTGATGCTTACCACCGCGTTGGAATTGGCACGAGCCGTTCAAGAACAATCCGGCGTGGTTTGGTCCGATCCACAGGCTGTCGACGCTTACACTTCTAGACTGAAAGAATTGGTAATTTCACGATTCTATCAGTTTTATTTTTCTTCAGTTTCTTCATATTCCCTTATTATTCCTTCAATCCCTTGCATTCTGAAAAATAAGGCTGACGAAGTTAACAGAGAATGTTAATAAACAGGACATTTGAATTGAAAACAGGTAAGGAAGTTTGCACAACAGAACTCGGAGCTGGCGGCGAAGCACAGTTCACTGCGGGACCTGGTGTCCAATTTGCTGAAAGGGGAAACTGTCAACATGATCGGGAATCAGAACGCTTGGAAAGACACGTTGATGAACATGAGAACGGTGGTCGATACCGTGGAGGCTGAATATGGAAACACAAAGGCATGGAAGTTACACTGGGACAGACAGCTGCTAAAGGCGTTAGGCGTGGCTTACAGGTATACTCAAACTCTTTGGAAATACATCTTTAAGAGAAGAGACAACTTTAGCGAAAAAATTTAGATTCGAAAGGATGATCAATAATTTAACCAGAGTGTCTATTGTTTAAGGGGATCGAATAATCTTAAAATGACCGTGATCAGATCGAATAATTCTCGAATCAGTTTGAACAATTGTCAAAAATTTTCGATTAATTTGTATGATTAAATCACACCTTCAAGAAAAAAAGAACGCTTCTTAATTAATCTTCACGTTTATAGCATGGATTCATAACATGGATCAGTTCATATTAAATAATCTTAAATTCTGAAAATCCATCAATAAATTATTCGATTATAATCCTCCAGTTAATCTATGTTTCACGTTTCCCATTTCACCCCTGAAAGAAAGATAAAAAAACCACGTATGAGAAACTGTGCTCGCCATGATCGTTCTTTAGCACTCTCTACATATTCATGGGCAATCCGTAGCAGATGGAATAATAAAGTAAAAAACTTGCTCTCTACCACCAGAGGCGCGTTGCCGTTGTTGCTGAAAAAGTTGCCGGAAGTTAAAGTGGAGTTGACTTTCCGCGACGGCTCGTTGCAGTGGCGACCATCGCTCGAGGAAGTCCGTGCAAAATTGTACTCGTCGATTCGTCGATCGCTCTCGATCCCCATGAACTTCAGAGGCGTCGGCGACGCGTCCGAGGCGCATTTCGGCGGCCTGATACAAAGGTGCTGTTACTTGTTCGGCGGCGTTTACAAGCAGGCTGAGATCGTTCTCTCCGCTTTGGAAACGCTTCGTACGAAATGGCTGTACCTGGCCGCGCCGGCGAAAATCGACGCTGCTGAACGGTACGTGTGCTTCGTTTAAAATTGACGACGAGATTAATGTAGAAGATGGGAGAGATAGATCTTCTTGGATAATTTATCTTTCATAGATTTTTTTTTTT